CGCGATAACAAGGTAAAAACTGGATTTAAACTAAAGTCAAAAGTTATTCATACACACAGAAGTGATTGAACAAAAGACCTACGTTATAACAAATGATTTGAAATACCCTTTAAGGCTCTCGTGCGACCTGTCTGACTGTAGGTTTCCATGGCAATAGCTTTTGGCTGTGGGCTTGCATGTATAATCGTGTCAGATTATAGGTTTCCATCCCAACCGTTTCCAGATGTAGGTTTCCACAGTAACCATGTATGATTGTAGGTTTCCATGCCAAGTGTGTCTAGCTGTAGGTTTCCATGGTAACTGTGTCTGACTGTAGCTTTCCATGGCAACTGTTTCTGGCTGTCAGTTTGCATATTCAATCTTGTCTGATTGTAGCTTTCCATGGTGACAATAATTGACTGTAGGTTCCTGACCGCAAGTTTCCATTAAAACCATGTCTGTCTTTCTGTTTCCCTGGTAACGTATCTATTTCTATCTGTTTGAAATAAAATCAAGATAATCTAGTTCCCGGTATGCCTTTTGAACTGTTAATTATACAGAAACAGAAAGAGGAGGTACATGCAATGTGAAAGTTAAGTGCTGAGTTTGGCCTTCGACGTGTGTTTGTGAAATACGTCTTACAATGAAATGAAAAACACTACTTGGTACACAGCTAGCATGTGTTCAATTGGCGTAAACAGCTGTTTTCACCTGATACATAGACAGTGATGTTCGTCAAACAACTGAATATCCAACTACTCTGCTACGACTACTGTAATTATTTCAGTCTCTCTGAAATCCACCCAAAAAGTTCAGTTCACTCCCATTTGATTGGATAAATACATTTCAGAGACATTTTTAACAACTTTAAATTATACAAAAAGTGTGCACAAATCCGATAACAGCGCTAAAATAAAGAGAAGCTCGTGCAGATGAATAGGCATACAGGTTTTGTTGGCAGCACCTGCGACACATCTGGTTCCAGCGGCTATAAATACCATCAAGTCGCTGTGACTCAGTGGCTTCATGTGTCTGACTGCGGACTGATGAGTGTCTCTTCTATTGAGATCGAGCGGAGGAAGAGACACTTCTCGCCGTCGCAGTCTGCCAATTTCTTGTGATAAACTTAACTGGCAGATAAATTTGGCAGCAGAGAAGCACACAGCGACAGTGTAGCTACACAAACACTCAAAGCAGGCGCGAAAAAATAGAAACGCTGGTCTGTCGTAGGAGGGAAAAGGGTCACATTAAAGGTGATGAATGTTGTGTGGTTTTAATGAAAATGTCATCGTTAGACTGGCTGGAAAACATTTGTGTAATTGATCTCCAGGATGATTTATCGCCTTCACCCACCAGGGCTGCTTTGTTTCTCCTGTTCGTCCGCAGAGAAGCTAAAACTTCCTGAACAGACTTGATGGAAAAGTTAGATCGTAAGCAAAGGACCCATGAGCAAAGAAGAAGAAAGTACCTTCGTGCAGCTCAAGCACACCAGCTCTCCTACAACTCTGCTCAGTCGCTGGAGAAGTTCTTTACGCGAGAGCTGCAACAACTGGTTGCTTCCCAATTAGCTGTTAAATAATAAAGCCTTCACCAGCTACCTGTTTTACTTATTGAACAAAATAACTTCAACATCTTTTCAAAACCTAAAGCTTGGCTCTGAACTCAAAATCATTTGCCTGATCCCCTCTCTGTCCTTTTAGATCCAGTGAGGTTACTTTTTCTAGCTTTTGGCGAAATGTTGTTTTTATTGATGTGGTGGTCCTTTAACTGTGAATCCACTTCCACCAAAAAATCAAAATCTTAATCTAATTTGATCCAATACCGTTGTTTTTGACTAAATACCTTCTGAAACTAATGACAGAACTATTAGACCTGCAACAATAAAACAGAATAATCAACAATTTGGACAAATGATTAATCAGTTTGAGTAATTTTCCCCTTGCAGCATGTTAAATGTGAATATTTTCTGTTTTTGGTCCTCCTTTATGGCAGTAAACTGAATATTTTAGACAATAAATTGAACTAAATTGAATATTATCTTACATTTTTAACAGCTATCCAATGATTGGGAACATAATCAAAAGATCAATCAAGAATGAAAATAATAAATAGTTGCATCCTTATTCTGCTCTACACAATTGAAATGTGTCAAATTAGAGTGATTCAGTCATACACGACTGAACTAGAAAACAATTTGGAAGAATAAAAGCTAATTTAATAAGGTTTCCTACACATTAATGGCTCAGAAAGAATCTTTCACGCTTTCTTCTTTTCCATCTTACAATGGTAACAGAATACATAAACCTTGGTTTTACTGTTTTATCAAACAGTTAGTAATGTGTTTTTAATGTTCACAAGTTCTCCTTTTACAAGTTGGCGACCAAAAACAGAACCTTTTTCTTTTCTGCTTCTCCTGTGATGCTAAAACCCAACAATGTACGACTGGATCAGTTTTTTAGGAGTTTTCAGGTGGAAATGCTCATATTTTGCTCAAAAAAACACCATGTGGACATTATAACAAGGTAAAAACTGGATTTAAACTTGAGGTTGAATGTTGTTAATACAGACGGAGGTGACTGAACTAAAGACTCACATCAAAATAAAAGATATAAACACCCTTTAAGTCACTGACGTTTCACACCAAGACCTCCTTCCTCTTGCTTTCTTGATAATGAAGGATGAACTCTTCAGTTGCTGTGAAGCCGCTCTGCAGACGAGCATCAACAACCAGCTGAAAACCCAAATGTGTGATGTTTGTAACTAATTAGGCTCCGGTGAAGCGGCCGGCCGGTTTCAAACACTCTTTCAACCAAATTGCTGTAATTTGTTGAGCCCTGTGTTGGTGTTGTTCTGCAGACATCTCAAACAAACTCATTAAACTGATAATTAGCCGACAGAACAAACAGAAGCGCTTCGTTTTGCTCGGCTACGACGTAAAAACCAAACACTGACATTAAACGGAGCGTCTCGGCTTTGAGAAAAATTTAATTAACACGGCTCTCACCTAAAGGCGGAGTGTCTGCAGCTGACAGCAGCCGGCTGCCTCCTCTGTCAGAGTCTAAATACCACACATAAATAATGCAGAGGCTTTCGCATCTGCACCTTCGGCTCGGTTTCCTGCTCAGATGAACCGCCGACAACGGCAAGGACGACAGGCTGAGAATAGGAGGAGGGAAGGAAAAAAACTACTTTGGGTTCACCTTCAGCAGACTCAGGAGGAGAAACGGGGCTGGCATTTGCTGGCGGCTTACTGAGGCTAATAATAATTAGAGGGTTTCATAGGATCCGTTACAGGGCTGCTTCCGCTGCTGGAGTGAAAGCTAAATTAGCTTTTTAACCACCAACATCCACCTCTGAGCTCAGACTGATGTGTTTGACCTGCTTTGTGAAAATAAGGTCATGAATTCAGGAATTAAAGGCTGTTTAGTAGCTTCTAAGTGCTCACATCTGGAGGACCGGGCTCTGCTGTGCATGACGGCGAACACAAAAACTAGAAATAATTGTAGGGATGTAAAAGATCATAATCAGAGCTGATCAAGGTGTTTCTTTTACCGCCAACCAAAAACCAGACCCTTTGTTCACACAGGCAGTATAAAGCGAGAAGACAATTTGTTTGAGAATTTTTTGAATCCGTGAATAACTGACGGCACAAACTGGGCACAGGGGACATTTGTATTTTGCTGTTTTGATCAACGGACACATGAGGTGGGCCACAAAGGCAGATCCCAGTTTGTCATAAACGCATGAGCTCTGGTTGGAGGTCATTAACCGTCACCAAAGTCTTCGTCATGGTGTACCTTTAGTAGGTAAACCCCCACAATGCTCTCTGCTTGCCACCATGAACTGCCTTCAATATGAACTGTCATGTACGTGTGGTATGCTGTGTTTTTCCATTTCTTTCCCTATTAGAATCTATCCTTCTCTTTTTTAAATTATCTTTGTAAAGTTCATTTTTACCTATTTATTTATTTTCATATACCTCAGATTGATGCACTTTGCTGTTTTGCACTTGACAAAGGTTTGCATATGATTCTGTTGTACATGTACAATGACGATAAAGATATTCTATTCTGTATTCTGAGGAAAGTCCCCAAGGGATGCATGTTCTACATAATTTTTCTAATCAAAAGTAGCTTCACTATCAATCAGTATACGATTAATTGAGAAAAGTTTTAGACACAATAGACACATGATTTGGGCCACAAAGGTAGCTCTGTTACACATGCAGACAGTGTTCTAGCCAATGACAGGTTCAGCTCTGGCTGGATGTCATTAACCTCCACACAAGTCTTTGTCATGGTGCCCGTTGCGAGTTAAACTCCCACAATGCTCTCTGCTTGCCAACTTGAACTGCCTGTAGTCTGAGTGATGCCTCGTCTGGTCCGTACAGTATTAAACGGTGAGAGGCTCCACCTGGTGGAACAACCAGGTACTGCAGCTGATCTATGATACACTTTCTGACGTCATGTAGAGAATATAGGTTATCTCCATCTTTTGAATTTTTTGGAGCTGGTTCTGGAATTCAAACTGAACTCAAAGCTCCAACATCTTTGTTTGAGTTAAGTACATCGACATAAAAAGACTTCTGAAAGAACCAAAAAGGGCACAAAAATAACCCGACCTCATGTACCCAAAAGGTTCAGTTTGAGCCCGCCAACATAGTGTGTCAATGGTAGTTGTTCTTATCACCACTGAGAGTTGAACATGTGTCTAATAATAGTTTGAATGATTTAAATAAGTCTGCATTATAAAAAACAAGTGAGTGGCTTTAATAAGTTCTGTCCTGATGCCTTCTCTTTCTTTCACTATATTTGGAGAGTCATTGACTGCTTTAAACATGCGAATCCAGCAGCAGGATATTTTATTCCATCAGAGGAAGGTATGAAAAAATAATCCACTTTCTGTGACTTCACTCCAGGCAGAGTTCAGAAATCTGCTTTTCATAAAGGTGAAAAAAACAAAACAAAATAAAACAAACAATAAAAGCTGCAGTGAGATGAAAATGTGGGTTTGTGTCTTACCGAGTTGGTTCCCAGAACCTGCAGGTCCGGTTCTCTGGACTCCAGCAGTTTGGCCACCATGTGCAGGAAACTCTCCACGAAGGGTTTGATGCTCTGAGAGTGACAAGCCATCAGCAGCTGGTCCAGAGCCTCCATCGCTATCACCACATAGCTGCACACAGAATTACACATCTTCATCATCGTCATCATCATGTGACACCGGGTCGTTATAGATCACCTTCAGATGCACATGTAATTATAGTTTTTCAGAATAATACTACAGTTATGACTCAAATCATTTCCCACCACTTAAAAAAAAAAAAAAAATTAAAATTACGCTTAAAAATGAGGTCTTCTTGTGAAAAATGTAATGTTGTGGAAAAATTTACAGCAAAAATTAAAATCCTGCTATGTAAAGTTAGAATAACACAGACCTAAACACTAAATGTCGTTGAAGTGCTGTTGTACACTTGTGTTTTAAACATGTTTACCTAAAAAGAGCTTTCAACATTTATCTTTCTGTGCTGATTGGCTCTTACTCTTGATGTGTAGCCAATCAGATCACTGGGTGGGTGGTAGCGTATTTGTTTTATTTTACTTATTCGTTTAATTTTGTTTGTTCTCCTGGGAATCAATTTAAACCACTTTGAAAAATGGTAAATCATTTTCTCTACTCTTATTTTACAGTTTTCATGTTTTGTTCAATTACAGATTATGTCAAGTAAAATTCTAGGGGGGAAAAAAGACTAATTTATTGGTTGACTGTTAATTTTTTTTTTAAA